TTTGTATTTTTAGTAGAGACAGGGTTTCACCGTGTTAGCCAGGATGGTCTCGATCTCCTGACCTCGTGATCCACCCGCCTTGGCCTCCCAAAGTGCTGGGATTACAGACGTGAGCCACCGCGCCTGGCTGCCTCTGTCCCTTTAGCATTGGGGCGCACCACACTCCTCATGCCAATATGCCCACCAGCCTAGAAGCCGTCCTAACCCTGTCAGGGTATTTTATGGAGGTTTTGTTACATAGGCAGGATTGATTAAGTAACTGGCCTTTGGGGATCAACTCAATTTCTAGCTCCTCTCCTCTCCTGAGAGGTTGGGAAATGGGGCTGAAAGTTCTGAGTGTCTAATCAAGACTCATTCTTTCTTGCAATTAGCCCCCATCCTGAAGCTATCTAGGAACTCACCAACCCGTTGCCTTCTTAGAACAAGGGATGCTTCCATCACTTGGGTAATTCCAAGAGTTTTAGGAGCTCCATGCCAGAAATGAGAGACAAGGGCAAATGGATTTCTTACTCTACTACAGTAATATTATCCCCATTTTGCAAATGTGTAACTAAGGCTCTTGGAGGATAAAGTGATCATTTCTAGGTTTCCAAGGAGTAAGTGGCAGATCTGATTTCCATCCCTCACCTGGCTCTGCACCTGTGCTCATATTGAGCACTGCCCCCAGTCCGGGGCCCTGCCTATGCCTTCTAGGCCCCACTCCTGCCCTCCCCAGCAGCACCCGTTCCCATTCCAGACTACACCCCAGGTGCCGGGGCACCCAGAGCTCCTTTCCAAACTGGACTGAGCATCTTTTGGGCTGCACCAGCCTCTTTCCTGGAGTTCATCTTCTTGGGAAGATCTTATATGTGTTTCCCTGGGTCTAAAGGATGAACAGGGAGCACTGCTGAATGGAGTGTGGCCGTGTGGATCGGGATATCCATGTGACTCTATGTGTCCCCTAGCCTACGGGACAGAATTGGGTTTGAGAAGAGAGGAGGGGTCGGGTCGAGGGGTCTCAAACTTCCATCTATTTTCTTGCATCAGCCCTGCAAATATTTAGCTGCCTTCTCTTATCCATTTTGCAATACTGCCTCCATAATTACAAAATGCTTCCTTTCCCTTCTACCTTGGGTACCAGTCCATCTTTTATGTGGTTAGAGCTTAGGTAATCCAAATCAAGTTTGTTTCTATTTAGTAAGACATTGGCATTTTAAAAACAAAGAAGTGACACAAGTAGAATTCTGTTAATGTTAAGGCCTTTTTTGTTTATTTAGGATACCCAATCATAAAATATAGCTGAATCATGAAACACAAAATCATATAGAAGTATATACCTTAGGCAAATTAGTTTATTGCAAGAAACAAGTATTAAAGAAATTATTTTCAATCAACATAGAGTGAAGTTCTGCCAGGGTTTAAAGGCAGGTAAAATAGAAAATAAAAAGGCTCCTACAGTGACATGAAACTATCACCAACTGCTAAATTTTTTTTTTTTTTTTTTTT